CAACTTTTCAGTCTTTTCTAAATATCTCAAAAATGTGAATAGCTAGACCCAATTTGCAAACGCTATTAAACGTCAAACATAATTGTCTAAAACTTTTCCCATTCAACCTCCCTCGTATCTGCTACAGTTTCCTATATCCTAATACATGCACCACCAATTTGGGACACACTGTATAGAGGAGCCATAGAGAAGTAGTTTGAGATAGGACACCGATGGTCGGGAGTGCGTCGTTTCCAAAATACAGGGTGTTGAAATTTGAACAACTCTTTCATATCATCTGGAGGGCTAATGCTAGACTGTTTTTATTTTTTTTTTGGCTATTCCAGGTAGAAAATGGGGATGCATTATACGAATTTTTAAATATCATTCCTACATGAATAATCCCTCAAAATTTGAACAGCCTAGCATTAGCCCTTCAGATGATATGAAAGAGAATTGTTCAAATTTCAACACCCTGTATTTTGGAAACGACGCATTTCCGACCATCGGTGTCCTATCTCAAACTACTCCTCTATGGTTCCTCTATATACCCTAGCATTTCTGACCAGTTGAACAGTTGAACGGGGACACCCTGTATATGGATGGTATGGATAGTCCAAAATATTTAAGTGTCACTAATATACTCTAATACAAATTTTGTTATTAGATATATGCAATATCATCATCTTCAGAGACTTCTAGCGTGTTTGTCCACCAGAAACTAATAATTCGATCAATTTTTAACAGGGGCGGATGGGGCCCCTCAGACCGGCGCGGGAAGTGGATTGAAACGGCGCCGCGCCTCTCCAGCAAAAAAAATTGAAAAGCACGAGTGATCGACTTCTGCGCATACCCTTCTGTTGGGTTAAATATAGACAAGACGACAAAATTACTCTTTTTGCTGATAATCGGAGCCGCGCCGCTCGAGGGTCTGTTCTCACAAGTTACAGAAATTACAAACCAGTCACAGCGTTTTCGATTGGTGCAAATCGCCAACAACCAGTTTTCTGACTACATATTTTCAACCAATGAAATTCGCTCTGACTGGTTTGTGATTTCTGTGAGAGCAGACATAAGCTCTGTTTCCACAGAAATCACAAACCAGTCAGAGCGTTTTTGATTGGTCCAAATCGCCAACAACCAGTTTACTGACTATTCTCAATCAATGAAATTCGCTCTGACTGGTTTGTGATTTCTGTGGAAACAGAGCGCCAGTGTACGGAGACAAGATTCTCTTGTCGCCCGTCTTTTTCTACTCCATCACCAAAACAATCAAAGAGTGCTTTGATTACGAAAACGTATGTCGCATTATTGTTTCTTTATTGGTCAGGATTTTTGACATGACATTTTGACATTGAAGTTTATTGACAAAATTAACGAAAAATAATGCTAATACATACGTTTAAAAAACCATAGCAATCTATGATTGCTTTTTTTTGAAGACCCGCTACCTCAAAACGGAACACAGCAAGCACTGTAATTTGCCATGAAGCATTAGAAATGGTATGGGCGCTCATAACATGCATACTTATTATTTCCGCAGTTCCAAAGTGGCCAACTGCCAAATCAGTTAATAAATTAGATACCTGAATCTGGCTTTTTTGCTTTTTCAATTATTTTGGAACTTCCCGCGGCGGCGCCAATCGGCGCCTGAAGGACCGGCGCACCGGGAAATTTCCCGGCTTCCCGGTGGGCCCATCCGCCCCTGATTTTTAATTTTGGTTTCCGCAAATCATGTAGAGATAGTTTTAAAAAATATAGAATACCTACGGTCTCGACAATTTACATGTATAAATTAGTTGTACCTATATTAGCTTATTGGTCAGACATAACCTAAGCTAGCGTTAATTCAGCCCCCCCCCCCCCCCCACCTAATAGGCCATATAGTCTCTCCACTGTAATGGAGCAAAAATCGAAATTAGTGGAGCAAAATGGACCAAAATGAGAGCAAAATTATGGGATAATTTTCATCTAGAAATTTTCTATGGGGGGGGCTAACTTAACTGACCCGTTCAATGTAAACGATTAACCCAAGGCCTTAGTGAGGCCCCAAAATCTAGCCAATCAGCGTCCAAAATCTCAGATCACGCACTCGAAAAAGTCTATAGACTTTATGAACTATAATTTGTTTGTGCAATGGAACATTTGGTTTCTGTTGGTACTTTTTACATTTTAATAGTTACAAGGTGTAACATTATTATCAAAACCAGCATCACCTCTGCCATCTTCTTGACAACTGAAACTAAGACGAACCGCTTTTTCCACAAGCGTGCGGTAAAAAAAAAATTGGCATGCTCAAGGAGTCTTTTTTTCGCACGCCCTTAGAAAAAATGTTGTTCCTAACAGTTGCAAGAAATGGAACTTTCCGCACTTGTTAGGAAAATAACTAATTTTTTTCGAATTAAACAAACGACTCTCAACTGCAAAGGCCAGTGCTTGCTGGTAGAAATATAGCTATTTATATAACAAGTACATAAAGTAAGGCTTTATTGTACGAATAATTTTATGGCCGAGCGAGCTTGCGAGCGAGGCTATTAAATAATGAGTCAATAATAGTTATTTATACACCAAGTGAGTTAAATGAATGTTTATTCATGAGAAGAAAGTTTAACCCACGAGCCCTGGCGAGTGGGTTAATTTTCTTCGAATGAATAAACATTTTAACTCACGTGATTTATACAAAATTTTATCCCATTTTGATAGACATTTGAAAAATAAGGTACTTAATAGGAATTAAATTATGAAAAGAATTCATTTAGTGGTTATGAAAGCGCTAATTATTGAAATTGGTGGTTGCTAGGGTATAACTAGTTGTTTGTTTGTATTTGTAGCAGATTTTTATACTAGCAGAGTGACTTAAAAGACCGAGAGTGAGTTAAAAATATTTTAAGTCACTGAGGTGATAAACTTCTACTTACCTTTGTTATTATGCGTTCAATAATGTCGTTTTTACACGTCAAAATGGGATAAAAATATTTATTTACTTATTTATTGATTGATTGGTGGCATGGCGTACAGTGACTCTATACTTGTATAGAGTCACTGTAGCATGGCGTAGCGCTGATTGCAATACAAACACGAAAATGCCGAAATTGGCAACGTCGCATATAAATTGTTTCGGGGCTAGCGCCAAGCTCTTGTCACTTTTACCACCATAAGTACTCAATTTCATTTGCTTGTACCTGCATCTATGACCTGTATCATAAAATCATAATTTTGGGTCGCGGATTGCCTCCTGCAATAAATCGTAACGTCGAATTAATGTACGGTTTGAATAAAAACTAATAGTCCCCAGTACATCGACCCTAAAATTTTGTAACTCATGTACACGCCCAACTTCCTGAACGCAGGGTTGCCAGATGGTTATGACTAATTTCCCCCAAAGGATTTCAAAAATAACCCAAAAATCACTGTTTGTCAACTAAAATCTCCCAAATAAATATAGATTTATTCTCGACTCATACTTGCACAAAAAAAAAGACAAATTTGTTGAATATTTTAAAATAAAACTCATACCCTTACCACTTTTTTATTTGTTTATATTTTCCTAATCCCAAAAATAAAATGACAATTGACAAATGACAAATGAAATAAAATGTTGTGACAGGTGACAGAACAGATAAGTACAGTTGTACCAAAAAGTTTGGATAGTTTAAAAAATAATCTCAATTTATAAGAAGCAAACTGTATCTTTTTTATTGGTACTTGATTGAAAAAATAGATGGCGCAGTTGTTTTTATACATTTTTTACTTGGTTCCTTAAAATGGCACAACGAAAATATCACACATCAGAAAAACTAGAGTAGGTACTAAATTCGGGCCTATTTAGTGCTAATATAGTAAGGAAAAAAATAATTTATAACTCTATTTTAAAAAAAATTACGTGCATGTGTGCCAGCTTAAGATTAAGCTGGCACACTCTAGTTGGATAAGGTCGAATCTTTGGAAATCTAGTACCTCAAATTTGGTGCTAATTTAGTACATTCATAGCACGCCTAAAAAACTAACAATGATGTATTTATTACGAAATAACCCCGGAAAAGTGCTAACCTAAGACTTGAATTAGCACACATACATCGAATCGACCGCGCGAGAACGGAATTCGCATGCACATATTTAGTGCTAATTTAGTACTTCAGAAACGACGACCCGAAACGAATTAGTATCACATCAGCACAGAGTTAGCACTTGTGTGCTAGCTTAGTGTTTAAGTTAACAGACATTATCACCGATGACGCGATGAGACTAGAGTACTAAATTAGCATACATTTAGTGCTAATTTTAGACGTTAGTTTGGGTTAGTTTCGGTTAGTTCGGGTTATTTTGGGATATTTTGGGTTAGTTTGGGTTAGCTCTGTGCTGATGTGATACTAGTGCATTTCAGGTCGTCGTTTTTGAAGTACTAAATCAGCACTAAATGCATGCGAATTCCGTTCTCGCGCGTTCGATTCGATGTATGTGTGCTAATTCAAGTCTTAAGTTAGCACTTTTCCGTGGTTATTTCGTAATAAATACATCATTGTTAGTTTTTAAGGCGTGCCATGAATGTACCAAATTAGCACTAAATATGAGGTTCTAGATTTTCTAAGATTCGACCTTATCCAACTAGAGTGTGCCAGCTTAATCTTAAGCTGGCACACATGCACGTAATTTTTTAAAAAATAGAGTTATACATTTTTTTTTTTCGTACTAAATTAGCACTAAATAGGCCCGAATTTAATACTCTAGTTTTTCTGATGTGTGCCATTTTCGTTGTGCTAATTTTTTAGACCTTTTTTTACTTTAGTTTTATTCATTGAAATATACCCGATTTCCCCCAATAGCGAAAATTCTTACAATTCTTACCCCCAAAAAATCCTCCAGAAAAAACTATCCCCCAGATTTTCCCCCATCTACTTGAAAATCCCCCAAATTTGGTGGAAAATCCCCCAATCTGGTAACACTGCCTGAACGGCTTTATAACACCGGTGTTATAAAGCCGTTCAGGAAGTTGGGCGTGTACATGAGTTACAAAATTTTAAGGTCGATGTACTGGGGACTATAAAATTTTTAAGGGAAATTTTGTGAATTCATAAATCGACGTCAAAAACTGTCAGATCTTACATCATCTTAATATTATGTCAAACGGTCGCCATATTTGTGTTTGCGGTAGAGAACATGGAAAGGGTCCCGTTATAATTACAATATCAACGTGCAAACACAAAGATTCTGCAAACGGCGGAACGTCCGTTCACGTATCGGCCCCACCAAAAGCAACAGATACAAAATCTATAACATCAAGTATAACTTCAGATGACAGACAAAAGTCTTCAATTCGATCGGGTGCAGCCGGAGCGTCTTCAAGCTCCAGGAAGTCGGTTGCTATTGGAACAGAAGGTGAAAAAGAAAGTTCAAAAGAGGATAAAGAAACAGCTTGGTTTCCAAACGATGGAGGAGAAATAGATAAAGCTGAGGGAGATGTTTCAATTGATTCAGTTTATTTACAAAAAAAGTATAAGGAAACCCGTTATATAGATGAAGATGCAGTTAACACAACTACACCTGAAATCGAGAGGTCAAAGGAAGATATAAAAACAGAAACAGCATCAAATGAGGATGAGGCATCGAACGGAACGCCTTCGGCTCCGTCGAGTGCAGTCGAAACGTCTTCAACTTCCAGGAAGTCGGTTGATAGTGAAACAGAAGTTGAAAAAGAAAGTCCAAAGGAGGATAAAGAAACATCTTGGCTGCCACAAGGTGGAGGACAAATAGATAAAGGTGAGGGAGAAGGTTCAATTGTTCCAGTTTATTTAATATTTAGTCACATAAAAAAAAAATATATTAAAAAAACCATTTTGTAGAAGATGAAGATGCACTAGGAAGAAGTACACCTGAGAACGAGAGATCAAAGGAAGATGTAAAGACTGTAGAATCAACACCAACACCATCAAAAGAGGATGAAGCATCGATCTACGTACCAGCACTTGAAGAACCACTAGATGAAACTCAAAGATCCGGAATGCCTCCGGTCCCATTAGATGCAGTCGAAACGTCTTCAAGCTCCAGAAAGTCGGTTGCTAGTGAAACAGAAAGTGAAAAAGAAAGTCCAAAGGAGGATAAAGAAACATCTTGGCTGCCACAAGGTGGAGGAGAAATAGATAAAGGTGAGGACGAAGGTTCAATTATTGTCTATGTTTAATCATTTTTTTTATATATATATAAAAAATCTATTCTGTAGAAGAAGAAGATGCAGTAAAACCAAGTTCACTTGAACACCAGGAGTCAAAGGAAGATGTAAAAACTGTAGAACCAGCACCAACATCATCAAAAGAGGATGAAGCATCGATCTACGTACCAGCACTTGAAGAACCACTAGATGAAACTCAAAGACCCGAAATGCCTCCGGTCCCATTAGATGCAGTCGAAACGTCTTCAAGCTCCAGAAAGTCGGTTGCTAGTGAAACAGAAAGTGAAAAAGAAAGTCCAAAGGAGGATAAAGAAACATCTTGGCTGCCACAAGGTGGAGGAGAAATAGATAAAGGTGAGGACGAAGGTTCAATTATTGTTTATGTTTATTCATTTTTTTTATATATATATAAAAAAATCTATTCTGTAGAAGAAGAAGATGCAGTAAAACCAAGTTCACTTGAACACCAGGAGTCAAAGGAAGATGTAAAAACTGTAGAACCAGCACCAACATCATTAAATGACGATGAAGCATCGATCTACGTGCCAGCACTTGAAGAACCACTAGATGAAACTCAAAAATACAGGACGCGTTTGGTTTCATGGGGTGCAGTCGACACATCTTCAAGTTCAAGGAATTCGGTTGCTAGTGGAACAAAAGGTGAAGAAGAAACTCCAAAGGACGATAATGGTGGAGGAAAAATAAATAAAGGTGAGGATGAAGGTTCGATTGTTTCAGTTTATTTACAGTCACATGAAAAAAAAATATATATGAGAAACCCCGTTTTATAGAAGATGGAGATGCAGTAGAAACAAGTATAGCTGAAAAAGAGAGGTCAAAGGAAGATGTGAAAACTGTAGAACCAACACAAACATCATCAAATGAGGATGAAGCATCGATCTACGTGCCAGCACTTGAAAAACCAGTAGATGAAACTCAAAAATACAGATCGCGTTCGGTTTCATGGGATGCAGTCGACTCATCTTCAAGTTCACGGAATTCGGTTGCTAGTGGAACAAAAGGTGAAGAAGAAACTCCAAAGGACGATAATGATGGAGGAGAAATAGATAAAGGTTAAGATGAAGGTTCAGTTGTTTCAGTTTTTTCACAGTCACATGAAAAAAAAAAAAAAAAAAAAAACCTGTTTTATAGAAGATGAAGATGCAGTAGAAACAAGTACGCCTGAAAAAAAAAGGTCAAAAGAAGATGTGAAAACTGTTAAACCAACACAAACATCATCAAATGAGGATGAAGCATCAATCTACGTGTCAGCACTTGAAGAACCCGTGGATGAAACTCAAAAATACAGAACGCGTTCGGTTTCATGGGGTGCAGTCGAAACATCTTTAAGTTCAAGAAACTCGGTTGCTAGTGGAAGAACAGGTCAAGAAGAAATTCCAAAGGACGATAATGGTGAAGGAGAAATAGATAAAGGTGAGAATGCAGGTTCAATTATTTCAGTTTATTCACAGTCACATGAAAAAAATATATATATGAGAAAACCCGTTTTATAGAAGATGAAGATGCAGTAGAAACAAGTAGACCTGAAAAAGAGAGGTCAAAGGAAGATGTAAAAACTGTAGAACCAACACAAACATCATCAAATGAGGATGAACCATCGATCTACGTGTCAGCAGTTGAAGAACCAGTAGATGAAACTCAAAAACACAGAACGCGTTCGGTTTCATGGGATGCAGTCGAAACATCTTCAAGTTCAAGGAAGTCTGCTGCTAGTGGAACAAAAGATGAAGAAGAAACTCCAAAGAACGATAATGGTGGAGGAAAAATAGATAAAAGTGAGGGTGAGGGTTCAATTGTTTCAGTTTATTCACAGTCACATGAAAAATATATATATATATATGAGAAAACCCGTTTTATAGAAGATGAAAATGCAGTAGAAACAAGTAGACCTGAAAAAGAGAGATCAAAGGAAGATGTAAAAACTGTAGAACCAACACAAACATCATCAAATGAGGATGAACCATCGATCTATGTGCCAGAAGAAAGTCCAAAGGAGGATGAAGAAACAGCTTCATTGCCAAAAGGTGGAAGAGAAATAGATAAAGGTTCAGTTTCAGGGATTCAGTTTATTTATAAGGAAACTCATTTTGTAGAAGAGCCAGTAGAAACAAATACACCTGAAAATAACAGGTCAAAGGAAGATGATGTGATACCTGTAGAATCAACACCATCACCATCAAATGAGGATGAAACGTCGATCTACATGCCAGCACGTGAAGAACCACTAGATGAAACTCAAAAATCCCCTCCTGAGTCTGTAGCTGATGTTCAAGAATCTCAAAATAAGCAACCAGAGGATACAACTGACGAACCAACTGAAGAGGCTGATGTGGGTATTTTTTTAAATATTGAAAATTCGTTGTTTCTTATCGCTTTTCCTTATAGGAAAACTCAAATAACGTTAATATAATGATGTTGACTGAAACTGCAGTGAATACCATGCCTTTTCTGGAAAAACTGTTCCGGTTCAGGCAAGGGCATGGTAGTAAATCAATGCCAAGTTTCGATGAAGAACAAAAAGATGAAAATAGTGATTGCACGATGGAGATATTTATGTTTGAGAAGCACGTCAAGGATTGCCGGTTTGTTATAGTGTTTTGTAAATTGGATACTGTACGATTAGATCTTACCGTACTGTACTCTCTCCAACGGAGTACTTTTCTAACTGATTTTCGAAATAGCTCATCCCCAGGCGTTCAATAAATGTTTTGGTATCAGATTTTTAAAAAAATTATTTTATATTTTTTTAGCCGCATTAAAATGCTCAAAACCCTAGATGAAAATTCCTTTCACGACGGTGATTCTTGGGTCGGAAGCATTGGAAGATTTTCATTCCCAACTTGCCGTGACGAATTTCACAGTAATGAATCGTCAAGGACTACCTTAGAATCTGATGAGTCTCACAATAATGGAAGCGACTCTGAAAAAAGGCACTAAATAATACCGTTTATCAAACAATTACAAAAAAAATATGACAACTGATAACAAAGAATCTTCAAAATCTATCGTGAAACAGCTGCATCAAAGTAAAGTAAAAATGACAAATCGGTATAATTTGGAGGCTTGCATGCTGATGGTAGAGAAATGGATGGAATAAAGACCCAGAAAATGGTATGAAGGATGTTTATTTTGCTTTGGAATGAGACCTCCGAAAGATGTTCATGACATGGAAAATTTGGATCATCAGTTGATACGCGAATCGTCGTATTTCATGACCAGATATTTGAGAATATAATGTGTGCTTAAAAAAATTGAAATAAAACGCAATAATTACCTACCTAACTATTTTTTTTCTTTTGAAACAATAATATGTATACAGGGTAGACGTTATGTACGGAGACGGTCTAATATTTCAGAACCGGCTTGAAAAAAATTTAAAATATGTTTTTTTTTTAAGATAAAAGTCAAAATGACATGTTGGCAATTAGGCAATCTACTGACCTGTCAAAAACGAAATTCAATATGGAAGTTCGGGTCAAGCGGGTCAAGCCAATGACTTCTGTCACATTCTGGACAAACGTCAAGATTTAAATTATCGGATTTTGTGTTTTTTTTTGTGTGTTTAGGTATTGTGTTAAATAAAATGCCAGCGATTTGCATCGTAATTGGGTGAGGAAGTTGAGGTAACAGGGCTAATGTGAAATTTTATTCAGTTCCTGTTATTTTAGATCATCAGCATTTGATCTACAAAAGTGAATTATCAAAACAACGCAGGGCTTTATGGATTGCTGCAATTAAAAGAAAGGATCTAACAGAGGCACGATTTTCCCTTAATATTAATAGCTTAAGATATGACTCTCCATCTCAGAATTTATTATTAAATTAAAAAATAGGTAGAAACATTATAAACACTATAAAATTCACTTTGTAAACAAAGGCCAGGACACTAAAAAATACGTAGACATACTAAAAACTATAAAATTCACTATGAAAGCAACAATATGACCAAAACCAATGGAAAATACGTAGAAACACATAAAATTCACTTCGCAAGCAACAAGGGTCAGAACACAAATGCTCTCCTTATGAACGTCACCGGCTTGTCACTGCAATATTTGACCCGAACGGCCATTATAAAATCACGTGATTGAGATTGCCTAATACAATGTAAAATTGTCAATGCTTTCAAATTTTTATGTAGAAAAGGCTTGTGTTGCCAACATAGTTACTAAATTTTTGACTTGGAGAATGGACCTTTCTCATTTTACCTGTGCTGCGCGCGCATCTTGTGGGTGACAGATAATTAAATCGTCAATTTACTGAACATGGTCTGACCCTGACGTATTAAAGCTAACCTCAATAATCAATCAGTATCAATCAATATTGCTGAAAATTAATACAAAAACCGTTTATGATACAATGGTTCAAATGAGTTGAATGAATTCTTGTCAGAATTAGGCGAAAAAGAAGTGAAACCTTTCTTTTCACAAGTTCCCAGGCAATCAAATTGTAAGAAAACAATAGTAACGTGCTCTCAACCCGAATGAAGATGATTTAAGTTGGGCCAGAGATTTGAGGGTTCGTAAAATAACGATTTTTATATCAAATACAATAATAATGTACAATTAAAGGTTTGCTGCAAACATTTTTGCTGCGGTGCGGGTTTTCTTTCTAATTAATGTTAATGTTGTATCAGCGTCAGTTTCAGTTTACCGGTAATACTGGTTAAAAAAGGTAATTGTAAAATTGTCAACTTTAATTGTCATCACGGACGTTGTTCCTTTATGTTATATTTTGCATAGCTGTAATAAAGTACATAAAATATCCCATCCAACTGTGTTACCATTCATTGAAGCCTCCGCTAAAACATGGTGGCAGCGGTAAAAGTCGGAAGTTGAAATTTTTGCGAGCAAAAGTGATATAAGACGGTACAGTTGTGGAATGGGCAGAAATAAAACCATGATCAACGCAGAAAACCACACAGGCGCAGGCGGTAGCCAGACAGGGACCGGTGGTGAAGGACAAACCAGAGGTGGTCAAACAGGGACTGGAAGTGGCCAAATAGGGGCCAGTATGGGTCAAACAGGTAACATTGTTCTAGGTAAAATGGGAAGTGCTGGTGGCAGTGCAGGTCTTACAATGGCAAACCATGGTGTGCATGTACAGCCCCCCGATAAATTCAATTTTCGAGAGCCGGGAGGTTGGAATACCTGGAAAAGAAGGTTCGAGAGGTACTTAGCAGTATCGGGATTAAGTAATAGGTCTGATGCAGAGAAAATCGATATTCTGATTTATATTATGGGGCCAGAGAGTAAGAATATATTACTACAATTTCCAGATCCTACACCAAACACTTTTCCAGCCACACTGGCTGGTTTTGATACCTATTTTTTCCCTAAGAAAAATGTCGTTTTTGAAAGGGCACATTTCAATAAAAGGAAACAACAGCCAGGTGAGCCTGTAGAAAATTTTATAACAGATTTGCATGTGTTGTCGGAGCATTGTGAATTTGTTTGCTCAAATTGTAGCTCTACGGCTATGAAAAATGATTTTATAAGAGATCGGATTGTCGATGGTATTTTGGACCAAAATTTAAGCGATAGATTGCAGCTTAAATCTGATTTAAAATTAGAGGATGCGATTGTAGAGGCAAAACAATCTGAAATGCTTTTTAAACAGAGCAATATTTTAAGAAATAGCGAATGCCCAGGAAAAGATGTGTATGCCATGGGTAAAAGAAAAGAGCAGAGAAACCCTAAGGGCAAGCAGAGGACAGGGCGGTCACAGAATAGGGAAGAGACAGAATGTTATTTTTGTGGCAAAGAACCACACTCAAGGGAAAAGTGTCCTGCACGAAGGACAACTTGCTCACGATGCAAAAAGGTCGGGCATTGGTCCAAAGCATGTAAAAATAAAAGTGTTAGGTCGGTTGAGAAAGAACCAGAGGAGTCTAGTTCGGAAGAAGACGACAACAGTCAGGAAGGGTTTTTAGGTTTAATGGTTGGGTCTAATCAAAATTCAGACCTAATGTCACAATGGTTTTGTAAACTAAAAGTAGAATATTTTAAACATAAAATAAAATTTCTAGTAGACACTGGAGCCGATGTGACTTGCATGCCAGAAAAACTTCTTTCAGAGAGTCTTTTAAAAAAGTTGAATATGCCGGATGATGTCATATCGGGCCCGGATGGTCGACCTTTACTTGTTTCAGGTACTTTAAAATTATTTATCTCATATCGAGGAAAACAAATTGAGGTACTAATTTATATTTTAAAAAAATTACAGATGCCAATTTTAGGTAGACAAGCAATAATTGATTTGAATATCTTGAAATTCACTGGTCAAGTGAGCCAAGAAGTGGTGTTGTCAGATTTAAAATGTAAAGTAGATATAAATTCTGAGTTTCCTAACTTGTTTGACAGCTTGGGGGAATTTAAAGACGAAATTGAGATTAAAATTAAAGGTGAGGCCATACCGTTTGTTCAGGCAGCTCCTAGAGTGGTACCATTACCACTTTTACCAAAATTGGAAAAAGAACTTAAACGTCTTGAGTCTTTGGGTATAATCGTACCCGTTGAAGAACCAACTACATGGGTCTCTCCGATCGTAGTAGTTCCCAAAGGGGAGGGAGTTCGTTTGTGTTGCGATTATACCGAATTGAACAAAAGTGTTTTAAGATCACACTTTCCAATAAACAAGGTCGAAACAACCTTGGCTAAACTCACAGGATCGCGTTTCTTTTCTAAATTAGACGCTAATAGTGGATTTTATCAGATAAAACTTAAAGAGGAATGTCAAGACTTGACTACCTTTATATCTCCTTTTGGGAAATTTAAATACACTCGTTTACCCTTTGGAATTAGCTGCGCTCCAGAATACTTTTGTTTAAAATTTAATAAAATTTTAGCAGGAATTAACGGTGTTGTTCAGCACATTGACGACATACTCGTCCATGCGGCAACTATGGAGCAACATGATGCGATTCTGCGAGAGGTCTTGGAAAGACTTCGTAAGGGGGGGGTTACTCTGAACAAAAATAAATGTTTAATAGGGGTTTCAAAGGTAAATTTTTTGGGGCATTGGATTACGGGTAAAGGGATAGAAATTGAGGAAACCAGGGTGGAAGCTATATCCAAGTTTCCAGAGCCAACATGTAAACGCGAGCTACAGCAGTGGTTGGGTATGGTCAATTTCCCAGGTCGCTTTATTCCCAATAAATCTGATATTTTGGCTCCTTTGAACGAGTTATTGAAAAGTAAAATAATATTCACTTGGCGATCAGCTCAGAAAGAAGCTTATCAGAAAATAATTTCTTTGTTAAAACAAGCACCTTGCTTAGCGTTTTATGACCCAATTAAAAAAATTGTAATAAGTTCAGATTCGAGTTCTTATGGGCTTGGAGCCGCACTTTTTCAAGTAAACGACTCTGGAAGCAAGGAAATTGTAGCTTACGCATCCAGAACTCTCACCCAGAGTGAGGAGCGTTACGCCGAAATTGAAAAAGAATGTTTGGGGTTTACATGGGCTTGTGAAAAATTCAGGGAATATATTTTGGGGCTTTCAAAAGTATTTTTAGAGACCGATCATAAGCCACTTATTCAAATATTAATGACAAAAAATTTGGATGATCTGACTCCCCCCCGACTGCAAAGGTTTCGAATTCGTCTTATGAGATATAACTATGAGGTTATTTATACACCGGGCAAAGAGCTAATTGTGGCGGACGCTTTGAGCCGGAACCCATTGAAGTATACAGGACCAGAAGAACTGCAAAGCGAAGTAGAGGCACATGTTTCTATGATTATTAAAAATTTACCGATTAAAGACACATTTTTAAAATTAATTGCAAATGAACAGCGTAAAGATTTTGTTTGTAAAAAATTGATAGAGTATTCCTCTACGAACTGGCCAGAGAAACACCAAATAACACCCGAATTGAGTTCGTACTACCAATATCGAAACGACATTTCTATCAATGACAATTTCTTACTCAAAGGTACACGACTTGTCATTCCACCCACACTGCAAAAACAAGTGTTAGATTTTATCCATTTAGGGCATCAGGGCATAACTAAATGTAGAGAAAGAGCAAAAATGAGCGTTTGGTGGGTGGGACTTTCATCTCAAATTGAAGTTTTGGTTTTGAATTATCCAAATTGCATTGAAGAAAGGGTAAATATCAAAGAACCGTTATTCAAAGATACTGATATGGCCACTAGGGCTTGGCAAAAAGTTTGTGTTGATCTTTACAAATATCATGGGCTTTGGTATATAATAATTGCTGATTATTACTCTTACTTCTTTGAGATCAGTGTTCTGGATGAACAG